AGATTCGGGCCTCAACATAGCTGCTGCCAGGCCCCCCTAATCTGCCATGGGCCCCTATATACCGCCTCCTCATGCTGCTGCCAAGTCCAGAGTCTGTCATGGGTCCCTGTACGGCCTCCCATTGCTGCTGTCTCCATCGCCACACTCTGCTGCCATGTGCCACTTTCAGGTCTCCTTCACACTGCTGGTGTGTTAAATTTTTTGACATAGGGTGCTGGCAGATTACGGGCCTACCCATAGCTGCTGCCAGGCCCCTAATCTGCCATGGGCCCCTATACCGCCTCCTCCTGCTGCTGCCAGGTCCAGAGTCTCTCATGTTCTCCATGTGCCACTTTCAGGTCTCTTCACACTGCTGGTGTGTTTAATTTTTTGACATAGGGTGCAGGCAGATTACGGGCCTCACATAGCTGCTGCCAGGCCCCTAATCTGCCATGGGCCCCTATATACCGCCTCCTCATGCTGCTGCCAAGTCTAGAGTCTCTCATGGGTCCCTGTACGGCCTCCCATTGCTGCTGTCTCCATCGCCACACTCTGCTGCCATGTGCCACTTTCAGGTCTCTTCACACTGCTGGTGTGTTAAATTTTTTGACATAGGGTGCTGGCAGATTACGGGCCTCCTATAGCTGCTGCCAGGCCCCTAATCTGCCATGGGCCCCTATATACCGCCTCCTCATGCTGCTGCCAAGTTCAGAGTCTGTCATGGGTCCCTGTACGGCCTCCCATTGCTGCTGTCTCCATCGCCACACTCTGCCATGTGCCACTTTCAGGTCTCCTCACACTGCTGGTGTGTTGAATTTTTTGACATAGGGTGCTGGCAGATTACGGGCCTCCTATAGCTGCTGCCAGGCCCCTAATCTGCCATAAGCCCCTATATACCGCCTCCTCATGCTGCTGCCAAGTCCAGAGTCTGTCATGGGTCCCTGTACGGCCTCCCATTGCTGCTGTCTCCATCGCCACACTCTGCCATGTGCCACTTTCAGGTCTCCTCACACACTGCTGGTGTGTTGAATTTTTTGACATAGGGTGCTGGCAGATTACGGGCCTCCTATAGCTGCTGCCAGGCCCCTAATCTGCCGTAGGGCCCTATATACCGCCTCCTCATGCTGCTGCCAGGTCCAGAGTCTCTCATGGGTCCCTGTACGGCCTCCCATTGCTGCTGTCTCCATCGCCACACTCTGCCATGTGCCACTTTCAGGTCTCCTCACACTGCTGGTGTGTTCCATTTTTTGTCATAGGGTGCTGGCAGATTATGGGCCTCCCATAACTGCTGCCAGGCCCCTAATCTGCCATGGGCCCCTATACCGACTCCTCATGCTGTGACGTTGCAACAAGGTGGAATTCAACCCTACATATGTTAGACCGCCTTTACGAACAGCAAAAGGCCATCACAGATTTCCTGATGTTAAAAGCAGATAAAGGTACTCCCTGTGTAACTTAGATGTCAGCCATTGGCAGCTCATGCGTGACACCTGCGCTTGCTCAGGCCCTTTGAGGAGGCCACGCTATTCGTGAGTCGGCAGGACTATGGGATGAACGACGTCATTCCTCTGTTGCACGTCCTGGAACAAATGCTGTTAACAATGGCTGGTCAGGGTGCGGTAGACGTGGCGCACAGATCTCAACGCCACATGGCCCCTGTGGGGGCAGGACTGGAAGAAGAGGAGGAGGTAGAGGAGGACATTGGGTGCTCAGGAATTATTGAGTGAAATGGGTGGTTTTTCCACTCAGCGGACAGGAGTGGAGGAGCAGGAGCATCTGGTAGAGGAGGAGGAAGAGGAGACAGAGGACCTAGACGCACCGTGGCAGTATGCTGTGGAGATGGAGGCAGGGAGTCCCTCGCATTCCTTGGCACAAATGGCCCATAGCATGCTCGGTTGCTTGCGTAGCGACAGCCGAATAATAACCATCAGACAGAGGGATGACTTTTGGCTGTCCACCTTGTTGGACCCTCGCTACCGTTCAAAAATGGTGGCCTTTTTCACACCTGCTGAGAGGGAGGCCAAAATAACGTACTATAAAAAACACCTATGTAGTCAGCTGGTCTCTGCCTGTCTGCGCCAACGTCCATCCTCAGACACTGTGGGCCCTGTGCGCTCGTGTTCCGCTGCCATGGCAGCAGGGGAGGGGGAGGGGTGGGGTGGTAGGAGCAGTGGCAGCTCCACCAGCAGCGGCTGCCTCAGTCTGCAGTCGATGATGAGTAGCTTTCTTCACCAGCGCAGTGAGGAACTACTAACCAGCCGCCAGCAGCAGCAGCAGCAGCAGCATCAGGTGGACCTGGAGCAGGACCTCAAACAACAGGCTTAGGCCTACTTGGACAGCACCCTGCCAACCGAGGTAGACAATCCCCTTGACTACTGGGCAACGAAACTTGACCTTTGGCCCCAACTAGCTGAATTTGCCCTTGAAAGGCTGTCATGCCCGGCCAGTAGCGTGGCATCGGAGCGCGTGTTTAGTGCGGCAGGAGGTATTGCAACTCCGCGGAGGACACGACTGTCCACCCAAAGTGTGGAGAGACTCACGTTTGTGAAAATGAATCAGGCGTGGATTAGTCTGGATTTCAAACCCACCAGTTCCTGACACAACTGACTAAATCCGCCATGAATCATGCCCCAAACATGTGCCACTTTCAGGTCTCCTCACACTGCTGGTGTGTTCCATTTTTTGTCATAGGGTGCTGGCAGATTACGGGCCTCCCATAGCTGCTGCCAGGCCCCTAATCTGCCATGGGCCCCTATACCGCCTCCTCATGCTGCTGCCAAGTCCAGAGTCTCTCATGGGTCCCTGTACGGCCTCCCATTGCTGCTGCCTCCATCGCCACACTCTGCCATGTGCCACTTTCAGGTCTCCTCACACTGCTGGTGTGTTCCATTTTTTGTCATAGGGTGCTGGCAGATTACGGGCCTCCCATAGCTGCTGCCAGGCCCCTAATCTGCCATGGGCCCCTATACCGCCTCCTCATGCTGCTGCCAGGTCCAGAGTCTCTCATGGGTCCCTGTACGGCCTCCCATTGCTGCTGTCTCCATCGCCACACTCTGCCATGTGCCACTTTCAGGTCTCCTCACACTGCTGGTGGGTTCCATTTTTTGTCATAGGGTGCTGGCAGATTACGGGCCTCCCATAGCTGCTGCCAGGCCCGTAATCTGCCATGGGCCCCCGTACCGACTCCTCATGCTGCTGCCAGGCCCGTAATCTGTCATGGGCCACTGTTGTCGCTTGTTGGCATATTCCGCTCGTTCAGATGCTCCTTCTCCTGCTACTCCTATTCACGGATTCCGTCAGCAGTCTTTCTTGGAATCCGTTTCCAAGAGACAACAGTTTGCGAGCACGCACCCGACGGTGCAGAAGCTGAACGTCCTCCTGTCCAAGTTGCTGCTGCCAGGCTCGTAATCTGTCATGCGCCCCTGTACCGCCTCCTCATGCTGCTGCCAGGTCCAGAGTGTGTCATGGGCCCCCGTACCGACTCCTCATGCTGCTGCCAGGCCCGTAATCTGTCATGGGCCCCTGTACCGCCTCCCCATGCTGCTGCCAGGTCCAGAGTGTGTCATGGGTCCCTGTACGGCCTCCCATTGCTGCTGCCAGGCCCGTAATCTGCCATGGGCCCCTGTACCGACTCCTCATGCTGCTGCCAGGCCCGTAATCTGCCATGGGCCCCTGTACCGCCTCCTCATGCTGCTGCCAGGTCCAGAGTGTGTCATGGGTCCCTGTACGGCCTCCCATTGCTGCTGTCTCTATCGCCACACTCTGCCATGTGCCACTTTCAGGTCTCCTCACACTGCTGGTGGTTTCCATTTTTGTCATAGGGTGCTGTATGGCCTCCCATTGCTGCTGCCTCCACCGCCACACTGTGGCTCCACACTCTGGTTTTGGCCCCGTGACTGCCCAAATGAGTGAAGTGTGCGGTGATTCTAAGATCGACGGCACTCATCTGCATGTCATACTGACTGACAGTATTATTTCTCTTCCCCAGCAGACTCCAAGGGCATTTAAATTAAAGGTACAGTGTTCTGCACTAATATTAAGTCTCTCTGAAGCCTAGAAACACCCTTTTTTAAGTTAAATTCACAGCGAATTTATTCGACTCGAATCGAATATTGTCACGAATTCGCCGAATCAGTCGAATCGAATTTTTCATTTCTTCGCTCATCTCTACTGACAATAGATGGATTGAAATTGAATCTACCATACTGTTCACACTCTAAAGCAAGATGGTCAACTGACCGAAAGAGACAAAAGCGACTGCAGAGGTCTATCTCAGTCTTCGTGGGACTGAGATTGAGCTCTGCAGTCACTTTTGCAGCAGTTGTTTTCTTATTCCAGGTCACAGTCCTGCGCAATGTCCTTTTGTCTCTTTTGGTCAGTTGACCATGTCAACCACTAAGCTAGGTTTTTCATCTATGCAGTTTGTGTTTGACCCGTTTCTGCATTGCGTTTTTGCACCTGCATTTTTGCCACTTTTTTTTCTTGTTGCTAGGCAGATCTAAAATGCAAAAACACAGCAAAAATGCGGCAAAACACAGCAAAAATGCACTACATGCTTTTCTGCAGCATTTCCATTGAAGTTATAGAACCAAAAACAACTTTTTTGCATTCAAAAAATTCCCTGACCCTTTCCGAAAAACGCAGCGGGTAAAAACACGGAGATGTGAACCTGTCCCATAGGAAATCATGTTAAATGGACTGTAGTACTTTCTGAAAATGCTTAGGTGTGAACCTGGGGTTACAGGCTCCCAAAACAAAAAATAATAAATGCAATTTTTTTTTACCTGCAAAAAAATGTGTTTTTATTATTTTTTATAAAAAGGTGAACTTATCCTTTAATCACTGCAGAGGCAGGAAGAGGACAGGACATCCTTGCAGTAAAGATTTTTACAGAATCCAGCTGCCTGCATAATGTGGGACATTCTTCAATACAGGTGGGTTAACTCCATAAAGCTATAAACAGTAGGCACTCTGCAGCTGCTATTTTGTCCAGATCTACGTAGTCACCCATTCTACAGTCCTCTCTGTTGAGGCAGACTCTGTGGTATATTAGCCTCTGCGATATTACAGCACAGCTCAACTTTGTAATTTTGTTTTGCGTTACTGAGCACCAGGGTTGCTGTTAGAAACCACGGGGCCCCATACAGCCAATGTAACAGGGCCCCCAAATAAACACAGTTTATTATGCTTCAGTTACGAAATAACACAGTGAGGTATTCTCTACCGATCACCATTGTGTTCATTCAGGAAAGGAAGGGGCTGGTAAATGTGACATATTTACAGACCCTTCCCACACTCTCTATCCTATTGATCCTATTGTATTCTTGCATCTGTCGGTGGGAAGGAGAGGAGGGAAGTCGGCAGCACTGCGTGGTGGGGGGGGGGCACACAGGGGGGCTTGGCAGCATGGGGAAATGTATGATTCACTGGGAGGGTGCTGCAAAGAGAGCCATAAAAGGGATCAGTTCCAGTAATTAATCCCCGTCCCTGCTGCGCCAATCACCCTCCCTGCCCACATCCGATTCACCCTGATGCCTGGGCCCCCCTGCTTGTCTGGGCCCTGTACAGGAGGACCAGTGGTACCCCCTTATCCACAGCGCTGCTGAGCGCTGTACATGGCAGGGAACAGAAGAAATGTGCATAGCCTGAGCATGCAGCACTCTCAGGATTTGTGATCTCTAGGCAGGAATACATAAGGATGTATTAAAGTGTTACTAAACCCACAACAGTAAAATCGGTCTGTATATGCAGTAAAGCATGCTTGTTATACTCACTGTGGAACCTAAGGGGTTAATCCTCTGCATTGTGTAAAAAGGCTGTTTGATCCTGTCTTCTCTGCCCCTCCTCTTGTCGAAATGCCCACCTGATACAGACTGAAATCATGGTCACATGCACATGCTCAGTTTGGTGTGTATTGCTAGAGAGGTGTTTTGTTTTTTTTTCTTGGGAGGGTGTATGTGATCAGCACAGGGCCGATCAGCACAGTCCAGACAGAGGTCAGGGGTTTCACATCCTCGAAGACCCAAAATGTCCAAATGATACAGACTGAACCCATGGTCACATGCACATGCTCAGTTTGGTGTGTATTGCTAGAAAGTTTTTTTTTTTTTGGGGGGGGAGGGTGCATGTGATTAGCACAGGGCCAATCAGCACTGTCCAGACAGAGGTAAGGGGTTTCACATCCTCCTAGATCATAAAAGAAAATCCTCCTACAAGCTTTAACCAGTGCTCTGCTGAAGTCACAAGTCTGCTCTAACTGCTGATGAGAAAAGGTATTTAGCAGTTTACATTTACTAAAATAATTGCATTTCCAATTTGTGTGTACTGTGGGAAACCAGATATAGTGAATGCAGGGTCCGGGGATACCAGATATAGTGAATGCAGGGTCCTGGGAGACCAGATATAGAGAATGCAGGGTCCGGGGAGACCAGATATAGTGGATGCAGGGTCCTAGGAGACCAGATATAGTAAATGCAGAGTCTAAGGAGACCAGATATAGTGAATGCAGGATCCGGGGAAACCGGATATAGTGAAAGCAGGGTCCGGGGAGTCCAGATATAGTGAATGCAGGGTCCGGGGAGCCCAGATATAGTGAATGCAGGGTCCGGGGAGACCAGATATAGTGAATGCAGGGTCCGGGGAGACCAGATATAGTGAATGCAGGGTCCTGGGAGACCAGATATAGTGAATACAGGGTCCTGGGAGACCGGATATAGTGGATGCAGGGTCCGGGGAGACCGGATATAGTGAATGCAGGGTCCGGGGAGACCAGATATAGTGAATGCAGGGTCCTGGGAGACCAGATATAGTGAATGCAGGGTCCGGGGAGACCAGATATAGTGAATGTGGGGTCCTAGGAGACCAGATATAGTGAATAAACAAACCAAAGATTCGCGTATGCAATGGTGGGAGCTTTTAAAAGAAAACCCAGAACTCAACAAATGATCAGCTTTGTTATAAACATGCAAAACAAGCACTAATGATTTCACTCCAGAAGTCAATAAGGGGCACGCAGGGACACTACTTATTCTCTAATGCGAAAACACAACCAACAGAAACTTGTCATCCGGAAACAAAATCAATGAAGCTTCTGTGAAGGCAGCCAGGATGGCTAAACAAATTGAAAATAAAACAGTAGGAGCGTTTTGTCACCACAGACAAGCAGCAGGTTGGACATTTCACAGTAGACTGGGTCCTGACCTGGGAATTTACAACCGCCAGATCTTCGGGACATCAAAGTCATTGGTACAATTGACCTTAACGCAACGTAACACAGCCTATGAAATGCGACAGAGAGACTTATACTTTAGGTCAGGCATTGGGCAGATTGCTTTTTTCTTTTCTGTAGATGTGTTTTGAGTTAAGCTGGTTACGGAAGAGTCCGATCTGAGGCAAAGCATTAAAGCAGCATTAAACCCAAAAGCAAACATTATAATATATTGCAGCTTACCAATTCTTAAATGTTGTGGCTGCATTAGTTGTCTTTTGTGGGCTTTCTTTCTTCCATTTTCATCCAGTGATCTGACCAGTAAGTTTGTTGTTTTTCAAAAAAAGAAGTTCTCCAGGAGAATGTATCAGTTACAGAGATGAGACGAACAGGGGCGGACTGACAATTCTTGGGGCCCCCCGGGCAATAGGGGATCATGGGGTCCCTGTATCCTCACCCACACTCAAACCACACCCAAAAAAGCCTATGAAAAGGTACCAGGGGCATGTCATGGGGCCCCATACTGACCCCGGGCAGTGCCGAGTTCTCAAATGGTCAGTCCGCCCTTGGAGACAAACCATTTAACACTAGCAGAAGTGCTTAGAACAATCAGCTTTTTTTAAAATGTAAAACCTTTACCTCCACAAAAAAAAAAGGTTCTCTGTAACTTCTTATAAAGTGTTAGCTGGAGTTTGTTAGTGTATCTAAATCTACTACTACATCGAACACTTTCTCTCCCCAAGACTGACAAAGTTGCTGTCCAAAGGTGCCCCCTGTGCTCCTTCATCCAAAGTGGAGGCACTCTAATACAGTTTAATACTGGAGGTGTATTACTGGCCAGATCGCCAGATGAAAACAGAGAAACAAAAATAATAATAAAAAAAAACTGATAAAGATTTTCTAATAGTGGGTGCCTGCTCCTAAAAATTGTGAAAAAAAACCTGAAATCTATAATGTGCTAAAAAAAATAATGTGTAACTATCCCTTTAAGTGTGACCCCACTAAGTACAATTTATAACATTTATTCTAAAAATTATAGAAGAACAAAGACCAATGCTGACATTACATTTTTTTTTTTAAGTGTGGGAGTCCCCCCCCAATCTATACCAGTCCCTTATCAAAGCATGCAGCCCAGCAGGTCAGGAAAGGAGTTGGTGAATGAGTAGCAGCACAATGTACCCATATTCATTCACATGGGTGGGGGCAATAAATCCCCCACCCACAGACTCCCTCAACCATCGTCCAGGGTTGTGGGGAAGAGGCTCTTGTTCCCATCAACATGGGGACAAAGTGTATTGAAGGGGAGCCCCCCTGCCCCAAAGCACCCCCCCATGGCACTGTTCGGGAAGGGGGGGATGCTTGCTTGTCCCTCCCTTTCCTGGCCTGCCTGGCTGCATGCTCAGATTAGGGTCTGGTATGGATTTTAGCGGGGGAGGGGTGGGAGCCATTTTTTTTAAATTGAGGTGGGGTTCCCCTTAAAATCCATACCAGACCCAAGGGCCTGGTATGAATTTTTGGGGGACCCCCATGCTAGTTTCTTTTTTTTCATTAATTTTGGCATTGGGTTCCCTTCAAAATCCATACAGACCCGAAGGGGGTACCCTCACGCTGTGTTTATTTTAATTTTAAAAAGCTCGAAATCCCACTGACAGCAGGTGAGTCATGGTTGTTAAGGATGCCACTGCCAACCGGTCCTTACCAACCAGCTATTGTGATCTGTGATGGCAAATATACAAAAGGAATGCCAAAGATATGAAAGGAATTCCAAAATTCATTTTGTATCTACGGCATTCATTTTTTTTCATGCTATTCCAATTTTCATTTCATGATCCAAAAATATAAAAACCGAATGCTGGAGATGCAAAACAAAATTCCTTTTGTTTGTTTGGAATGGCATTACATTTTTTTTTTTCAAAAACAGCATGGGTCCCCCCCCAAAATTAAAAAAAAAAACACCATTTGTCCCTCCCTAAATCAATACTAGGCCCTTACATGAGCAAGCAGCCCATCAGGCCAGGAAAGGGGGGGGACAAACAAATGCCTCCCCCCTGAACCATACCAGGCCACATGCCCTCAACATAGGGGGATGCTTTGTGGCAGAGGGCCTAAGGACAAGGGCCTCTTCCTTAACAGATCCTGCCCCCCATTATGTGAATGAATGTAGGGCCCTACTCATTCACCAAAAAAATGTAAAAAATTAATAAATTAAGACAATTTCCTTTATTAAAAACAAACGAAAAAAAAACAATGTCCACCAAAATAAATCCAGCAACACTCACGATGAACGCTGCCGCTCAGAGGAAAAAAAAAAGATCCGCAATCATTACTGGATTCCACTGTCTGACATGTCTGGTTCCCACCAACAGTAAATAGACAAAGGGAGAGTAGTCACCAGATACAGCAGGGAACAGACCATTGTCCCCATCAACATGGGGACAATGTGCTTTGGAGGGATCCCCCCTGTCCCAAAGCACCCCTCCATGTTGAGGACATGTAGTCTAGTACAATTCAGGAGGGGGGGCACCCACTCATTCCCCCCCTTTTTCCTGACATGCCGGACTGCATGCTCGGACAAGGTCTGGTATGGATTTTGGGGGAGACCCCATGCTATTTTATTTTGGTGTGGGATTCCCCGAAGGGTCTGGTATGGATTGTTGTTTTTTTTTTAAATTTGTTTATATTCTGCTGTCAGTGGAAATCCCTCTGATGGCAATTGTTAAGGAAGACATGGCCAGCAAGCCACCCCTCTCCTTAACAACCAGCTATTGAATGAATCTAAGAAATTCAAATGTTAAATGTTAGATTTGGATTTGCTGAAATCAGAAATTCAGAATTTTCGAATAGTGAAAAATTTGTCTGAATTTCAATTTGGAACAAAATGAACCACACATGTCTATTTTGCTGTGTTCTTGTGGATACCCCATGTGGGAACTCCCTACCAGCGTCTAGCATGACAGATAATAAGCACGAGGGCAGCAGTGTCGGTGCAGCAGTCCTTGGGGGACAGCTTGCATAATAACAGAGCTGGGGGGGGGTTGGGTCTTGCAGTGTCCTCTCCAAAGGACCTGACACAGAAAGCCCAGATCACTGTCCCTTGCCTGAGCCACAGCACTCCTCTGGGTCTTCCTTATCCCAGTCAGGCTTAACACTTCCATGCTATCTAGAGATGAGCGAATCAAATCAGGCGAAGTGGAATTAGTTTCGAATTTCAGGAAAAATTCGATTCGCATCGAATCCGAATTTTTGCCAACTTCGGATGGTCGAATCGAATTTTTCCTGATCGGCCGTTTTCATCCCTTCTACAGCCAGCAAAAATGTCCCTGCAGAGAGCTCCGCTATTTCTGACAGCTGTCTGACAGTTCTTTCACATTTACAGCGGTTGACATTGTATGTATTTGTTTCCATTTAGGATACAGATGTTTTTATTAGGAAACAAATAGATACAATGTTTCAATCGCTGTAAATGTGAAAGAACTGTCAGAGAACTGTCAGAAATAGAGGAACTCTGCAGAAACACTTTTTGCTTTACTGGAATTATTCTTATTTTCATTCTTCTTCTTCTTCTTATTTTCATTCTTCTTTTCATTCTTTTCATTCTTCTTTTCATTCTTCTTCTTATTTTCATTCTTCTTTTCATTCTTTTCATTCTTTTCATTCTTCTTTTCATTCTTCTTTTCATTCTTCTTCTTATTTTCATTCTTCTTTTCATTGTTCTTGTCATTCTTTTCATTCTTCTTTTCATTCTTTTCATTCTTCTTTTCATTCTTCTTTTCATTCTTCTTTTCATTCTTCTTTTCATTCTTCTTTTCATTCTTTTCATTCTTCTTTTCATTCTTCTTCTTATTTTCATTCTTCTTTTCATTCTTTTCATTCTTCTTTTCATTCTTCTTATTTTCATTCTTCTTTTCATTCTTTTCATTCTTCTTCTTATTTTCATTCTTCTTTTCATTCTTCTTATTTTCATTCTTCTTTTCATTCTTTTCATTCTTCTTCTTCTTTTCATTCTTCTTATTTTCATTCTTCTCATTCTTCTTTTCATTCTTCTTCTTTTCATTCTTTTCATTCTTCTTTTCATTCTTCTTCTTCTTTTCATTCTTTTCATTCTTCTTCTTCTTCTTCTCATTCTTTTCATTCTTCTTCTTCTTCTTCTTCTTCTTTTCATTCTTTTCATTCTTCTTCTTCTTCTTTTCATTCTTTTCATTCTTCTTCTTCTTTTCATTCTTTTCATTCTTCTTCTTCTTCTTCTTCTTTTCATTCTTTTCATTCTTCTTCTTCTTCTTCTCCTTCTTCTTCTTTGGCCCCGTGACTGCCCAAATGAGTGAAGTGTGCGGTGATTCTAAGATCGACGGCACTCATCTGCATGTCATACTGACTGACAGTATTATTTCTCTTCCCCAGCAGACTCCAAGGACATTTAAATTAAAGGTACAGTGTTCTGCACTAATATAAAGGCTCTCTGAAGCCTAGAAACCCTTTTTATAAGTAAAATTTGCAGCGAATAAATTCGAATCGAATCAAATTTTTTCGGAAAATTCGGCGAATCAGGCGAATTGAATTTTTGAAAAATTCGCTCATCTCTAATGCTATCTTCTAGGAAGGAATTCTCAGCTACTGTGTCTGAGTTTCCATGAAAGCGGACTCAGAATGCAGAGGCCACAAGTATGCTTCCACGGGTGTCTCATTTGAAGGCCATCTCAGAGTTCCCTAAGGTCACAGCTTCATTCACACATTTAGAGGAGGATGAACAGGATAGTAGCTTATTCTTATT